TAACTCATTCTTCCAGTATTTAAAGGATCAGACACTCCTAACTCCAGGTGCCTCCCATTATGGGCAGACGCCTCTAACCCAGGTGCCTCTAATTTTGTCTCTCACTGGTGTTGAAGACCTGCTACCTCAGGCATCGAGACCTTTTAAGCTTAAACATGGATAATCTTTAGGGCACTGTTGCGTATATAGTTGAATGAAGGAAAGAAAGTGGTTCCCTCAACTTCTCTGTTTCTAACTGGCACTGCACCAAAAATATCATAAGTCAAAAATGCAACTGATACACCTAGTCTCCTAGATGTCAGACCTTGGCCTCCTCTACCTTAAATGTGTTCAGAGCACTTGTATTCACCTACAGTTGGGCAAAATCATCCAACACAAAGCCTATCCATGGTAAATACTGAATATCTTCTGTAGTTCTTGAATATTGTATGGAAAATTAAAATAAAATGGTTTCATGGTACACTGTCATAACACTTGGTAAGTGGAACTATGGTAAGCTGAGACTCTCTGTCCTTGAGGAGGGCTGCAGGTGAGAGTTTTTCACATCTGAGAGTGACTGGTCACTCTGAGCTCCCATGGAGGCTGCTTGTCAGCAGGATGTCACTGCCCAGAGTCTCGTGCCTGGCCTAGAAGTGTGTGGATGCTCTATCTCCTCCGGGCATCCTGGATTTTCTGGCTGTACCGGAAGTGGTGGCTTGAGGTGCTGGTGATGGAGGCTGTCCTTTTTCGCAGAGCCCTTTGCACTTCACCCATCCATGGTTAGTAATGAGACAGGAATGATGTTGAGAGGGAAATGCTGAGGAAAATCCCTGCAGCCTGGAAACCCAGCTCCCTCAGCATCTTCCTGCTTTGGTTCTCTCCAGAGGCTCTGGGAAGCTCCCAGGGTTTTGCTGACTCACCTTGTCTTGCACTTCCTGGGTGAAGCAGGTGGACCACCTGCTCTGCGGTTTGCCCTGATTGTGTCTGTGGTCTCTTGCTTCACATTTTCTGCCATAGCTGCTAGAGCTTTTCTTGCTTTATTTTACTATTTATTTTTTATATGGATGCCCCTTGAATCCATAATGTTAAGTGAAATAAGTTAGACACAGGCTTGAGCTTTTCTTACTCCCCCTAGTCCTCTACAGGACAGTTGAAAGATGGGGCAATCACATATGGGATGGTCAGTTGCAGGCCTCACTGGGGGAGCTGGGCAAAGGCTGAGGGCACAGAAGAGACAGTGACACCAGAGAGATGGCTTGTGCTGTGAGAGAGCGGGAGGCTGCAGGAGTGTGAGTGATGCCCCGCCCTCAGGAAGGGCAGGGCGTGGACTGTACTCTAGTGAACTCCCTAAGGAGCTTAGGAGAAGTGAACTGGAGGCAATGAGACCAAAGCCACATGCACAGCCTGCGGAATGTACTCTCTCCTTTCCTGCCATTTTCTTGGCTCCTGACACACTGTCACCTGGTGTACCTTTCTGAAGCAGGGATGGCTGAGCCATATGCTATATCTTAACCCCTAGGGAGTGGGGAAGTTGGCCTGTGGCAGAGGGAGCAGCCAGGATGGCCAGACTCAAGCCCTGGGGACCCTCTTAGGGGATGGTGGCTTTTGTTGGGGGTAGAAGGCTTCTGTTCCAAGTTCTGCCCCAGACTTCTTTGGGGGGCAACTTTGCAGAAAGGCACAGGCGAAGAGGAATGAAGCAAGATGAGGCCAGGGGAGGAGGCACCTCCTTTAGTGTCCTGACCTGGAGGACCCAGTCACACCTTTATCTCTCTGGGGAGAGAGGGTCTTTCTCTCCTTCCTGGCCTTTCAGAAGATAGTCACCCTTTACAGCCCAGCTGCAGGCTCAATTCCTCTTCCTTAGACTTTTCAGTCTCCCACGATACAGATCAGAGCCCATGCGATGGAAATAAGTAATGGAAGGTTCCCTGCTGGTCACAGTCGTGTTTCTTGCATTCAGCTCTAGCTTCAGAAAGAGCTGAAGTTTCTCAAGTGCAGGGACCAAATGTCCTAGGCGCTCTGGAACTGTCCAGCAGAGAGATGAGCACAAACGGGGCTGCTGGATAGGTTGGTAACTGATCCAAAGCTGTTTCAAGAAACCCAGCAGAGCTGCCGTTTCTCACTCATCCATTCAGTTCCCAAAGCCTAAGGGCTAAGCTGGTTGTACAAGATATTATTTCTCCTCACAGGGAGCTTAAGATGAAGATATGAAGAAGCAGGGCATGTTGATGCACTGTGTAATCCCAGTACTCTGGGAGCCTGAGGCAGGAGGATGGCAGGTTTGAGCCCACTCTGAGCAACACTGTGAGACCTTACCTTAAAATAAAACATAAAGCAGGCTAGGGATGTACAGTAACTTGTGGAGCACTACCTGGGTTACTCTCCTTGAAAGAGGAGCAATTGTCTCCGTTTTGGCTGAACCTGACCTTATTTCCATGTATTGATGTGTACAGAGTGGGCTAGGACTTTTCCTTATCCCTTCAATTGGCTTTAAGCAATGCATATTGGTCCAGGTGTTGATGGTAGTCTTTGAAGACAGCAGGCATGTTTCCCTGGACCCCTACCCATTGTTCCCTTGTGTGAGCTGAGATGAGGTGAGAGCCAATGCTCCACACTGTTGCTGGGATCGAGCCTTGATAGAGAGGCTATGGCTTCCCAGGGCATGAAATATTACACATCAGAGCTGAAGCACCGACCTCAAAACATTAGATACTATTTCAGTTGTGTCATGCAGATTACTCCTTCTGCATATCCTTCTCTCCGCATATTGCAGAGGTGATTTCAGCCTCCTACCTAGCCCAGCTCACAGCACTCAGCTACTTCCTGCCATTCTCAGTCACTCATCCTCAAGCCACTCCTTTCTTCATGAATTAATAAAATCTGAGTTCAGTTGTGGGTCCAGTTCTTTGTTCTGGTTAGCCATCATCATGGCTGGATTTAGGACCGCTTTGCTCCCCATAACTACAAATATGCCTTAGTGTCTTTATTCTCACCATGGATTGCACTGGAAGTGGTAGATTGGAATTAACTCATTAAAATTCCAATAACTTTTCATGGGATTATAAATGTAAACTTCCTGGGCTGTGATGAGGACTGGGAAGGGCTTTCTATAGTGACTCATTGCAAAGGCCCTGGATTAAGTGGCCGGTACCACACACACACACCAAAGAAAATACTTATAGTTACCCAATCACTGCCTTCTAGTGCACACCCAGAGGCTGGCCTCTGTTCTGGGTGCTTTACATGCATTGTTTTGTTCCCATTTTTACTTCCATCCTGTGAGTGTGGGACTCTTCTCATTTTACAGCTGAAGAAAGAGGCTTAACGCGGTCACTGTGCTAGCAGGTGACAGGGCTGAGGGTTAAACCCAGGTGCTGTGGCTGAGCTGATTCGCTAGAGTTCCTCAGAGGTGAGGCCAACCGGAATCCTTGTTAGCTCACAGCTCCTGTTTGGAGCTCATTGGCCTCCTCTGTGTGCGGTGTGGGTGGAGTCTCTCATCTGCTGTCTCTCCCATCTCTAATAATCTGCATCTCCATCACTGATGGGGGTCCTTTCTGTCCAGGGGCAACACTGGGGGTTTTACTGAGGACTTGGCACAGGTAGCAGGTACAGGGGGATCCCTCAGGCCCCGGGTGATGGCACCCTGTTTGGAGAATGCCCCTGCCTCTTATGGGCCTGCCACTGATCTTAGCTTGCTTTCTTTTGGGGGATATGCAGGTGCTCAGGGTGCCTGCTGGTCCACCTGTCCCTGGAGAGGCCCTAAAGCTCCAGCTTTTTCATGAATTTGAGACATCCCTCTGGCTTTCTCAATGCTGTCATCCTTCCTCTTGTCCCAGACAGCAGCCATCCTAGGCAGTCTCCAGCCCTCAATTGGTAAGTCAGGCCAGGAGAACTGTGGCTCAGGGGCAGAGCACTTGCCTAGCAAATCGCCTACCTCCAACAGAGAGTGATCATAATGCCCATGAATGGAAGGAGATCCTAATGGCAACTTCAGACCCCACCCTTGTGTGTGTGTGAGTGTGTGTGTGTGTGTGTGTGTGTGTGTGTGTGTGTGTGTGTGTTTGTGTAGTGAGGGTTTCCACTTCCTTTTACTCTCCTGCAGCCAAAATGAACTTGACAACTGAGGCTGTAGGAACATATGAGGCATTTTTTAGGGTCATGGGTGTTGCTTCCTTAGTGTCTCAGTTTCTCTGTATTGCAGACTTCCCATCTTCTGAAATTGTTTTGCATCCCTTATGCTTTCCTCTCACAGATATCCCCCTGCTTCCCGGATCTCCTCGCAGGCTGAGCCCTAGGACAGTACCCAGAGGGGTCCAGGACCCTGGACATGGACAGCGACACCTCAGGGTGCAGGGTCCTCGGGCCCCAGCTCTGTGGGGCAGCTCCAGCAGAGACTCTGGCCAGGTTCTGAGTGGACAGAGTCCCCAGAAGAGCTCTGTGAGTACTGGGGGATGGGCCAGCCCCGGCAGAGGCCCTAGGGAGCCTCTCACCTGGGAACCCTCAAGTCAAGGTCTGTGTGTGCATGTGCATGTGCGCTCACGTGTGAGAAGGCTAGTTTTCGTTAGGATCCTTTGCTCTGCTCTCTCTCTCTAAGTGAGACTCAGTTTCCCCACAGCACAGGAGCCGGTGTGAGTGGCAGGTGATCCCACCCATTGACTGTGAGTCCCTGCTCTCTCATGCCCTGAGAGACCTGTTGCCTCACCGTGGCAGCCATGAGCCTCTCCTCTGTGCTTGGCACTTCATCTGGTTGCCCAGGTGACCTCTCAGGTGGCTGCGAGGCAGCTGGGTATCAAACCAGTAATAAACAGGGAAACACCCAAAGGGAGGGAGCAGGTCCCTGCCCTGCTCCGCCTGTTCTCTCCTCCTCTTCTTTCCACCTCCTCAGTGTGGAGTAGAGGAGAGCAGAAGCCCAGTTCCCCTAGCTGCAGCATTAGAAGGGGCCTCACCAGTGGCTGAAAGAGAGGAAGGGAAGGAGGATGTGGGGCCGTGGGGGGCACAGTGCCTAGTGAATTCCTGTGGGTGGGCCAGTCGACCAGAAAGTGGCCTTTGTTCCAATGGATCTAGAGAACCTGCCTGTGAGTATTCTGTGTGTAAATACAGAGCGTGTGCAGGCTGCTGTGCAGATCTGCAAGGAATGCACGTGTGTGGGTGGGTCACAGAACACGTGGAGGGCTGTGTGCGTGTCATAGTGCACTTGGGAAAATGCACGTGTGTAGACCCCTTCATGTGTGTACTGAAGTGCTGGTGCAGGGAGATGTGAGTGTGTGTGCACCTGCAGAAGCTTGTGTGTGCACGTGCAGGGTAGGTGTGTGGCCCTGCAGCCAGTGTGGATGTGCAGATGGTGCATGTGAGTACAAGTGTATGCATGGATGGCAGAGCTTGTGTGAAGGCACTGATGACGATGGGGGACGCATGGGTGGAGGCTGCGGGGCTGGTGTGAGGTGAACTTGGGTTGTGCTGTCCTTGCACTGAGAATTCAGGGTCTTTGGACCTGAGGGACTTGCTTTCTAGTCTACTCCCGGGCCCAGAGCCCTCACCTGACTTACTGTCCCTCTCCTTATCTTTGGCCAGGTCATCAATAACTACCTGGATGCCAATGAGCCTGTGTCCTCGGAGGCCCGCCTGAGCCGCATGCACTTCCATGACAACCAGAGGAAGGTCGACTATGTGCTGGCCTACCACTACCGGAAACGTGGGGTGCACCTGGGCCATGGATCCCCTGGCCACTCGCTGGCCGTCATCTCCAATGGGGAGACAGGCAAGGAGCGCCATGCTGGGGGCCCTGGTGACATTGAGCTGGGCCCACTTGATGCTCTGGAGGAGGAGAGGAGGGAGCAGCGGGAGGAGTTTGAGAACAACCTGATGGCGGCCGGCCTGGAACTGGAGAAGGACTTGGAGGTGAGGCCAGTAGCAAGGGTCTCAGGGTGGGATGGGCTCCTGATGGCCGTTGCCATTCTGCTGGAGCTTTGGCTTTGTTCTGGCAAGTGGCACTTCTTCTTTCTGCCCAGAAAACCAGATTTTCTTGCCCAGGATGTCGAGGGAGAGTCTTGATATTGCTGGTGCTCTGTCTAGGCAGGCAGTGCCAGGTGGCAGTGGGATGGTGATGGTGTCCCACCTGCTCCCTGGGAGCTGTCTGGTTAGACAGTGTAGGCAACACATCGCTTCCTGAATCTCTGCATGGTGGTTTCCTTGTGATAAAGACCTAATTTGCCTCATTTGGTTCTAAATTCTTCTCTTCATTTATCCTCCTGAAGGAAGGCACTCACTGGGGACCCCTTAAAGGACCTGATGTGAGACAGTTTGAGGAACTAAAAGGGGCATACACTGGACCTATTTTACAACTTGTAAGCTAGTGTAGTCTTGTCTGTGTAGCAGACAGCCTAGGAAATCCATGGAAATCCTTCCTTCCACACATCTGTCTATCCATCTATTTCTCCACACCACACTGACCCATCCTTGCCATTTCCTCCAAGTCTATTTCCTTACTTTTCCAGACTCTGTTCTGGGCTGTCAGCCTCCTCTCTACCAGGGGCCGATCACACTTGTCTTTGTGCTGTGATCTCTGTCCCAGGCCCTCTTCCCCAGACTTGTGTGTGCTCCTTTCCTCACTTGAGGTCCTGCTCCTACCTTACCTCCTCCTTTTAGATGCCTTCCCTGACCAGCCCATGAAAGTGTCCTTTCTGTCATTCTGAGTGCCTCAACCCTTCTTTACTTTTTTTTTTTGTTGTTGTTTTTTGGAAGCCTGGCTTCCTAAAGGAATGCGGTTGATTTATTCCTACTACAATCTCTGTCCTCCCAGCTCTGTGAAGGTGGGGTTCTTGTACTTGCAGTCCCGAGGGCAGAGTCTGGCACATAGTAAGTGCTTCCTAAATATTAACTGAGTGAATTGCATGGCCGCTCTGAATCTCGTCCCCCTTATCTGCAAACTAATAGATGCCTTGCTGGTTTGTGGCATTAGGTGTCCCACCATTAGGCAAAGAAAGTGTACAGCACAATGTCTGGAACTTAGCAAGTGCTCAGTAAGTGCTCACCATGATTTTAACGGGCCTCATGTTGAAGGCTGGATATAGTTTTCATTGAAATCTATTGTAAGATTCACATGCATATCAACATTGTCTTCAAACTGAAAAGGCCCTGATGTTACCCGTCCCTTCCTTTAGCCCTAGGTGGGGTGGCATGCTTTTTGGCTTGAGTGCCTGTGTTGCCTATGCCAGCCTGTGTTGCTTATCCAGATACGGCAGGGTTAGTCTTCCCATCTGTAGGGAGGGTGTGTCCCTTGAAGGCTGATTTGGGGTTCTTTGCTGTGGGAATGCTGGTTTTCACTTTCTGGAGTGCAAAGCTCATGTGGGGCCTCCATTTGGAGTCTGGTGAGAAGGTCTTTCTGGGGCAGTGGCACCTTGTGGATCATGCAAGGAGCTCTTTGGACTTAATCCTGTGGAAGTCGCTGTCCACACCCCTGTCCTTGGGTCTCCAGAGCTTTGATCTTTGTTCGAGGTTTGGCAGGGAAACAAGAGGGCAGATGCTGAAGGCTGCTTAGGGTATTTGCATCCCAGGCTTGGGTTCTACAGCCTCGGGACCTGGATAGTTTTGAGTCAAAGTTTCCCTGTTTGTGGAAGGGGAATTCTTGACCCCTGGGTTGTTAGGAAGATTAAACAAGACAACTAAGCATTTAGAACAGAATAAGAATTACTACTCTTATCATTATTATTTAGAGTTGTTAGGTTAGCAAATAATATGCAGAATACCTAGTTAAATTTGAATTTGAGACCAATAGCAAATACTTTTTTAGCCTTAAGTGTACTGAATGAAGTACTGGGGACATACAGTAAAAATCTGAAAATCAAATATAACTGTCCTGGCCCCCGCTTCCCGCCAGTCTCAGGGCCTCTGCCATCCGTGTGGCCCATCTTGGTTGCTCTTGGTGTTCCTGGCCTTGGCTGGGAATCGGGAGGGCACAGGAATAGCTCCGCTCTCGGGACTGAGTGGCACTAGACGGGGGTGTGGGCTGGTCTCGGGTTGTTGCTCCTGTTGTGTGGCTGCCTACTCCCAGCCCCAGCTGGCTTCAAGGCCTCTTTCGTGCCTCCCCACCATCAGGACCCCAGGTTGCCCCCCTGCCCCTCTGTCCTCTTCACCGCCCCTACCGGTGGAGCCATTCAACTTGCCATCTTGCAGGATCCTGTCTCTCTTTTCTACAAAGTGATTATTAGGACTGTTGTTATCTGGACATGAAGAGTTAACTGCTCTCCCCTCCCATGGCACACGGTATCACTGGCCTGCACGAGGAGCCTCTCGTTATTTCTGTAAACTTTCCCTTCCTCTCAGCTGCCTACTCCCTCCACAGGCAATCATTCTAGTACATCATGGTTCTGGAAAATGTATACTGTTCTTTTTGTTCTATGCAATTTTGCTGCTTTATTTTAAAAATAGACTTTATTGTTTAGAGCAGCTTTAGGTTTGCAGAAAAATTGGGACTAGTACAGAGTGTTCCCATATACCTACCCCATACCCAGTTTCCATATTCTTAAGGTCTTAATTGGTGTGATACATTTGTCACAATTAGTGAACCAGTGTTGACACATCATTATTAACTGCAGTCCAGGCTTTGTTCACGTTCCCTTAGGTTTTCCCTACTGCCCTTTATTCCTGGATCCTGACCAGGACACCATATTACATCTACTTGCCCTGTGTCTCCTTAGACCCCTCTTACTGGTGACAGCTTCTCAGAAGTGTATGAGTTTTAAATTTACAGAAAGGCATTCTATTTTACAGCTCTTTGTGTTTCTGGCTTTTTTCTTTTAGTGCTATAATTTTCAGGCCATGTACATTCTACATGTATATGTCACCTGCTATTTCTAAAGGGGAGCAGTTCTGCAGCTACCAGGGCTTACCTAGCCATTCCCCCAATAGTAAGGGCACTTAGGTTGCCCCACTATGTGCCACCCAAACAAGGCTGAGAATGAATTGTCACCTTCTTCAGGGTCAGCAATCCATGATCTTCTTGGCCTCCCTTCCCTCTCTTCTGCCATGTTGGTGTTGGAGTTGGTGTTTTGGAGGTTTGCCAGTGCAACCTGTGAGGCTTTGAATAACTTGTCCATGTCGAGGTGCTCAACCCTGGCTTTGTGCAGCAGCCTGGGGTGGGTGTCTCACAGGAGAGGAAACTTATCTCCCTGCCCCCGCGGAGCAGGGGAGCAGTGTAAAGAGCAGGGGCAGTGGTTTCACCTGCTCGGTCTTTCCCACTTTCTCTCAGGTCAGCTCCTGCCTTCTGGGCTGAGCTGATTTCTAGACTCTGATTTTAGTTTGACTTTAAGACAAGTGGATTCCTAATGGACCCATTAAACATTATTTACTTAGCCTTACTGATTAAAATAGCTTTGCAGCCACCGGATTCTAACTAAACGAGTATCATAGACTTCATCTCTGACCCCAGCTGATATCTGTGCATGCTTTGGACAGGATGATAATTGATGCACACATCACATCTGGTGCTTCACTTCTTTGTTTTGCATGCATATTTCCATGTATGGCAGTGTGCATGGTCATAATTTAAAGACATATCAGTACTTCACCAGAGAACTGTATTATAGTTTGGCTGTGTGTTTTCTTATGTTTGGCCATTTGATTAGAATGTCTCTTAGAGATGTACCTGGAGATGCATATGGGTAGCAGAGACTTAATGCTCTCACTCCCAATTCTTCTAATTGAGGACCATCTCTTTGGAGCAAGGGACCCTTTCAAATGGGAAGTTAACTGAAGCAGCTCAGGAGGTAGACCCAGCCCTGCACAAGTCTGCTGTCACCCAGGTGAAGCTGTACAGTGTGAGCTGCGCATGGCTCCCTGTGGTAGGCCTGGGAGGTCCGGCATGCCCACCTCCTCCTCCTATTTTCTAAATCTTCAGTTTTCACCCAAACACCCAGCAGCACATAGACTTGTATGGTTATCACCAGGGGCATCTGCGGGGAGAGGGGCTGCAGAGCCAGGGACTGTACCACACATGCAGGCAGCTGGAGGGCATGTTTGTATCCTTTGAGGCAAGACCATCTCCCCAGCAGGCCCTGAAATTCCCGTAGGCATGGCCCACAACTTCATCTTTTTGGGTAGTGACATCTTTGAAACTGGAATGGAGGCAGGCACATCAACAGGGAGGCCAGTTGCCCCTTTTCTTGGGGTTAGCACTCCTGGGATTAGGGTCTGGAGAACTGAGATAGCGGAAGCCATCTTTGCTCAGCCTGGTCTGGCACCTCCAGTGCCTGCAGCAGGTCCTGTTTTGAGCAGAGCAGGCATGGAGAGGGCAGTGTGCGAGGGGAGGACCCAGAGGTCACTGCTTCCTCTAGGAGGTGGAGCTGTCCTCTCACTTGGAGTCAGGTGGGAGTGCGGAACGACTCAGACCCTTCTCTCTCCCAGAAAGGAGTCCCCTTCCCCTTTTCCTGTCCCCAAACCTGGCTTCTCACCCTATAGGCCTGGTAGAGCCTGGACACCTGACATCTCAGCCCAAGTACAGCACTGCATCTAAGGAATAGTGGACATCTGGAGCGTGTGACATCACGACCTCCCAATAAGGCCCACTGAAGGTCTGAAAATCATGTCTCCCCATTTCACAAAACCTGTGTCTGTTGCATCTTGACTGCATCACCCTCTTTCCCACCTCCCTCTTTTCAGGAACCCCGGATTAAATGTTTTTATGTTAAATGTATTTATGTTAAATGTTTTTCCCTGGGTAAACACCCTCCAGGTGGCTTTGAGAAATTCCTGTCTCTAACCTAGAGTTAATAGGTCAATCTCATAGATTTGTATATTAATCTCATAGAAGAAATCTGTGGTCCTCAGAAAGGAAACTAACTTCTCGGGTGCCTTCTCTGTGCCTCATACATGCACGCTTGTGCTTTCCCTTGGCCTCCCTC